GACTTCATCAGTGTATGCGCAATGGAGGTCGCCATTTATCCGATGTCATTTTCAAGACTGCATGAAGAAAAATTGGGATATTGTATTCTCAAATAAAAAAAATTTAAAACAATAACTTAAGTACTTTTGTTTTTATTGACCTTTCAAATAAGTAAGTTTCTCTGGCGCACCCTGTACTTCGACAACACGTTGCGTCCAACGCTACAACATGGCGGTGATAAGGTCTGACCAACAGATATCCATGCAGGAAAATAATCTACGTATAGGATACCTAACAATTTTTCAATCAAGTATTCATATTAATGACAAATAAAGTACAATAGGGTATTCTTTCATTGCTCTACACAAATTCCATTACGTTTTAAAGTGTTGTGACTTGATAATTTAATGATTATATTTACACCATTATAATGAGATTGCGTGTGCCCAGTGTTATGGCAATTAAAAGTTACCCAAAACTGAAGTTATTTTTGATTTGCTTGTTTGTCTTTTGCAGATAAGAAGGTGACTACTTCCAAGGGTGCAGAGAAGCCACAGGTACATATTTTCGTAATTTCTTTCTTCCCTACTAAATATTTTCTATTATAATTGTTTAAGTAGTTGGATAGATTCGTATCGTCGTGGAAAATATTATAAGCATTGCAGAAAAAGATTATATTTTGTATTAAAGAAACAGATGTTTTCATCTCTTACTTTTATCATGGATTCACGTATTGCGTAATTTAAATTGTGATTTTTTGCGGCGAAGTTTGAAGAAACAAATCTTTTACTCACATTTAAAAAAAATATCCTCTAGTTTTACATATTTTTTTTTTATTTCACTCATCAAAGTAATTCCGGCAAGATCTGTATGAACGTATTGAATAGCATACATGTTTTAGGGCCCATCCATTCCATTATTTGGAAAGAAGAGCGCCAAAGAGGAGGGGAGCGATGGTTACTCCAACTTCGCTGAGGACTGTTTGGCGGCCCACAACGTGTACCGCGCCAAGCACGACGTTCCGCCTCTCAAGCTGAGCAAGAAGGTACGACGACCACAGCTCAGCAGGGTCGGCTCCTTAGTTTTGTTTCTTCATTTTTTCTATAAAATGTTTACTAATATTTACGAACTTTGATTAAAAATTACGAACTAATATTACGAAATAATTTAAGAACTTTGTTTAAAAAGTAACACTAATGAGAAACCTATTCTTATTAGTTAAGCAAATCATTTTTACCAACGTTGTCTTCGTCATTTGAATGTTTTCTGCATAATATTCTCACTAAAATGGTAAATATTAAACTTCAATGTAAACTATTCTTAAGGAAAGTGTCAACGTTGAGCGTTATTTCGGGCGTGGTTTATTTTCTGTCCGCAGTTAATCCTTCATATAAATATTAAACTGCAAATTTCTTAAACTAAACAACGCCAAATAAATTTATTGTCCCCGGGTTTTCCTGTGAACGCCTGAGAGTGTGACACTTGCTTGGCCTACCTACTTCCTCATTCGCTGATACGATGATATGCCAGAGTGAACTGGCAACTGGCACAAAACGAACACAGAAGAAACCCATGTTTTTCTCTGCTAGTAGAAATCAGAAACATAACGCTACTAAAATAGACGGCCACCCCGTCATGGGGAATGATAAAGGATCGGCCACAAAGGCATGATGACACAAATATTCAAAGTAAATTAAATACAGGGTTATTTCGGTAAAATTATTGACTTCTTCAAAATTATAAAAATAATATCAAAAATAAAATTGATCTCGAACAAATTTCTTACAACCTAAACAAAATACAGGAAAAATGAATTGAATACAGCTCTTACAATTAAATATTTACAATCATATCCCCAGAAACTAGCGGAAAATAAAAATTTAAAACGTCTTCTTGAAAATGATATTATAAATTAATTAAATTTAAATGATACAAATGAAGTTCACGAAAATAATTTTAATCATCCTTCGGAGAAAGAAAAATACCCAGCAACCACTGGTGGTGATTTCGAGAACGGGGGAAGCACTATAGTGGTAGTGCCGACCGACCGCAACTATACTAATAGTATCTGATTATTTTTTATTAATTCTTTAGTTGGGCAATTTTAATAATAACAATAACAACAGCAATAACAATAACAATAATAACAACAATAACAACAACAATAACAACAACAATAATAACAACAACAACAATAACAACAATAACAACAATAACAACAATAACAACAATAACAACAATAACAACAATAACAACAATAACAACGATAACAACGATAACAACGATAACAACGATAACAACGATAACACCGATAACAACGATAACAACGATAACAACGATAACAACGATACCAACGATACCAACGATACCAACGATACCAACGATACCAACGATACCAACGATACCAACGATACCAACGAAACCAACGAAACCAACGATACCAACGATACCAACGATACCAACGATACCAACGATACCAACGATACCAACGATAACAACGATAACAACAATTACAACAATAACAACAACAATAACAACAACAACAATAACAACAACAACAATAACAACAACAATAAGAATAACAACAAAAATAAAAACAACAGTAACAACAATAGTAACAATAACAACAATAGTAACAACAATAGTAACAATAATAACAATAGTAACAATAATAACAATAGTAGCAATGTTAACAATGTTAACAATGGTAAAAATGTTAACAATGTTAACAATGGTAACAATGTCAACAATGCTAACAATGCTAACAATGTTAACAATGGTAACAATGGTAACAATGTTAACAATGGTAAAAATGTTAACAAGAACAAGAACAATAGAAACAAGAACAAGAACAATAGTAACAAGAACAAGAACAAGAGAAACAAGAACAAGAACAATAGAAACAAGAACAAGAACAAGAGAAACAAGAACAAGAACAATAGTAACAAGAACAAGAACAATAGAAACAAGAACAAGAACAATAGAAACAAGAACAATACAAACAAGAACAAGAACAATAGAAACAAGAACAAGAACAATAGAAACAAGAACAAGAACAATAATAACAAGAACAAGAACAATAGTAACAAGAACAAGAACAATAGTAAGAAGAACAACAGTAACAACAACAACAGTAATTACCCGTAAAAAACCTCCAGGGCTAACAACCCGGGTTGTGAAAATGTATTCAGCGTGAAAATGCTGACCCCCCCCCCATAATAGTCACTCGATGAATATATCTGAGCCCCGGTGGGTTGCACGTGAGCGTGATACAAAGATTCGCCGTGAAAAAAACTATAAAAATGTACTCTGTCAAATCAGATAGAATTCCTATGTAATTCCCTCTGTAAAAAAGACCCTTTTTCCGAGTGTTCCTCACAAGCCAAGAAAACTGACACATCATTTTTTTTTTTTGCAATTTAAGATCGCATCAACTTCTAGGTCATTAACGACCACTTTTGCGTGTAACGGTATGGTAAATATGAGGATGACACGATATGATAATGATGATGATGATGATGGGGGGTGAAAGGACGAACACAGTACCACCATGCCCGAGGCGGGACACGAACCAGCGATCCTTCGGGTGGCGATTGTTACGGCACTACTGCCTTAGCGATCTCGGCCATTCGGACTGGCTACATCAACTTGATGCCGCACAACTTTCCTATTATTTTTTACTTATCGTATTTAAGAGTTTCTTGTTTAAGTTGTTGGTCTAACTGGAAATCTAGTCGGGCAGTACTAAATGTTGCGAGACAAATTTCAGATCGAATATGATTTGATTTTGTGCTTGTTGATGTCTCTGCATAGCTTGCAATAAATTATGCATACCATCAAATCTAGAGCTGTTCCAAATGCTTTTCATTCAAAACTAATATAGAGAGCCAAATATATTATTTCGAAACCGTTTTACAACCACATAACCAGTCCGCTTCTTTACATTACTCCGTGTTTAAATGCCATAAACACCTTTCCGCTTGTGTCTGCATATGTATCAAATCAGGGGTACGCCTTACACGCGAAATAATGTCCTTTTTGGCTTGAAAACTCATTGAGGAAAATGAACGTTCCTTTGAAACTTCAAAAATACAAGCACAATTGTAGACTGTTACCTCCTCGCCTCCCGTGCCTGCCATGTTTACTGCACTTGGCCTTGATTGACACAGGGAATGAACTTCTCTCATGCATTCCCTTTACAAAGCGGCTGGTAGGGCACGCAGCTTTAAGATATACATACCTAGGAAAACCAGTTCTTGGTAGAAGTACAAGCGCAAAGCGTACAAAACAACATTTCACAAATGAAGTTAAATAATTACATACAAATCAACCAATATGTTTACCCAACGGACGAACTATGCCGCTATTATTGAAAAAATATTTTTCAAAGGGAACGTTTCCAAATTATCATTCCTTAGTCATGGCGATAAGCGGCTCTGCTAGTTCTGCAAGCCACTGTAAGAGGACAAATTATCGGCACTCTTAAATTGCCGCTAGGTACCATCATGAGACGAACACGCACAAATTGGCAATGGGCGCCCATTGCCTCCATTAGAGAAAATATTTATTATATACACGGAAAGATATAAAATTGATGTATTTGTAATTCATGATATAAGTCACTCCGTAATAGAAGTATTACGGAATGACTTATTCCCTTCATTGCATTGACTGGCCACCCCAGCAAGCAACATATGTCATGCGCTTGGGATTAAACAAAGGAAGCCTCTCAACAAGCAAAATTGAGATATATACCTTTTTCGTTTCTGCTAGAGGCTGGGAAGCCAATGGCGAAGTAGTATAATACATTACCGTATGTAGTATTTTTTAATGCAATAAATATGTGCTAATAATGTGGATCACCTGATTTACAAAATTCTTAGTTGCCTCTCGTGTAAAATTGACTGGAAGTGGCTTACCGTTATCTATTTCAGAGTGATTCAAGTGTGGTGTCTCTGGGATCCGTTTAAGTCGCTCGTGATTGATTGATTTATTGATTCGTGTTTTCTGGCGTAGTGGGTTGCTATGGTCATTCGTCCCGTAAGTGTAGTGCATGCTTTATTGCCGGAAATGGCTGTTATCTCCCGCTGGATGGCGAGATCCAGCGCCGCTGACCAACACGTAAGCTTGTAGGGTTTCCCCAACCAGGTATCTCCCACAGGCGGGGCACCGCCCCAACCGGAGAAAGCTCTTAGCTTCCAACTGGTCCACCAACACGTGTAGTGTATGTAAGTGTAAATAAAGAGTGAGGATGGGAGAAGGAAGAGGCAGGAAAGATCGCACACAGTCTGTGGCCCGTTTGTGTGGGTACTGCTCCGGCATTCGCATGCTGTTGATCGGAGAAATCACGGAAAACTACTGTTTAGCGCAGCCGGCCGCTAGAATTTTCCTCCTGACTGGCTGATTTCGTCCGAGCTATCTAGCTAGTGTCGAAAATCCTGTCACATTAGGGACTCGAACCATAGGACCTCCCGGACAGAGGCGCTGCAATTACGTCAATGACCTGAGCCACCTTAACCGATTTAAGTCGTTCGTGCTAGTTGCGACCAGGCGCTGAATGGCTGGCACGTATGCAGCTACCTGGATGCGATGACCATTTACTGTGGTCCTTAGGATGTCTGCAGTACGCGAACGGGAAGCCCGGGCATACAACAGCCATTGGGCTAGCAATTGGTGTAATGAAAGGCAAATGGCCGCACAGCGAGCGGGCGCGATGTCCCGTAGGGCTTCTGAGATGTGGGTCGCGCAGTTCAGACGCTCCCATGATGTGCGTGGCGTAGGGCGGACGAAAGGCGCTCTTCCTGCAGCTGTTTGTCTTCCCAGCTAGTTGCGCTGGCGAGGTTTTCTTTCTTATCTGCTGGGGATTACGAGACCCACAGCTCTTTGGCTTGTGAGTAAAAAAGGGGCGGTAGTAAAATGTACTAACTGGAAGTAAATTTATTGTAGAAGTCGGCGCTTTAGCCGGCAGCCTAAGACTGTAGGCTGCTTTACTACGGATTGGTTTATTTAAGTAGTTTTTTAACAGATCGTTTTACGTTTTGATTGTCTTGTTGCCCGTGGGTCTCTTCCTGGAGTCTGTGGGACTGTCGCCACAAAAGTTATTGTGCAAGTCACCTCAAAAATATTCGGCAACGTGCATGCGCAAACTTTTTGGCGGTTTACCGCTACACAACTTGCACTTTCCCTGGAGGGTTCAGGATCTCTAACCTTTCGGTTGACTGATTGATTGTTAGTGATTCCGGACGCGTGTGCTTTTCCTCGGAAGCTGGCAGGCATCTTCCCTCGCTAGATGTTGAGATTCGGCGCCAACGTAGCGTCGGCTACCTGGCTTTTCCCCAAACAGGAATCTTCCTCCAGCGGGCCCCGCCCCAGCCGGGACAAGCTCCAAGCTCCCGGCCGGTCTCCCGGTACGAACGGTAGTGAAGTACATGTTAGTCTAAGTGTATGTAACTAAGAGGTGAGGATAAGACAAGAAACAGGAAGGAAAGATCGCGCGCGATCCGTGGTCCGTTTGTTTAGGGTAGTGCTTCGGCATTCGCCTCGTGTTGATCGGATAAGCCACGTAAAACTTCCGATCAGCCGGGAACAAGAATTCACCTCTAGACAGCGACTGAATTCGACCTAGCTGACAAGCTACCAGTGTCGAAAATCCTGCCACCGTCGGGATTCGGACCTGGGACCTCACCTCTCTCGGTCTAACATTTCGACTTTCTCCTCACCCCCGTAGGCACAAGTGCACCATAGGAGTGGCATCAGGATAGAGCAACAGTTCCGCTAGACGTTTGACCATCCACCTTATAGACCAGGGCGTTTACGTATAATATTAGTGTATGATATAAAATAATAAAAGTGTGCATAGTAATAAAGTTTATGAACAAGATAATAATTAATTTTCTCATAACCAATTAAATCTTGAAATATTTGGTTTTAAGAGAGAGAAAGAGCTAGAAATTTGTGCGCTGGTGAATTACTGATATCTTCAAACGTCTGTCCTCATTGAATGATCTATTTTTATGTGCACCATCTGCTATTCAAATATTCTTTTTATTTTAGATGTGCCAATACAGTGAAGAGTGGGCGAAACGTTTGGCGACCACAGGGAAACTGGAACATCGTCCTAACAACGAATTTGGAGAAAACTTGTTCTGTGTCTGGTCGTCTGATCCTAATCATAAAGTTACTGGTCGAGAGCCAGTTGATAACTGGTATGCCGAAATCAAGAACCATGTCTTTGGTAAAGAACCGCGTGACCTTAAAACAGGTGAGTATTTTCATGAACTCAGGGCACAGAAAAAGTAACAATGATATCCGGTGTGGATTCATGTAATTCATGAGAATGATGATGTATGTCCGCCTATCTGCATCATGTTGAATGTGATTTAGTCGCATTCAAAGAGTTCTCCTTCTTTGCATTGCATGTGATTAATTATAATCATTAACTTGTTAAAGAATTCAAATTACCGAAACATGAAAACAAAAAATTATGTTATCTAATTTGTGTCAATAGAAGTGGCAGGTAAATCTTGTGTACTCCATTAACTCCCTTTATTACAATTTTATCCAGCTTTTACAAGTTTCCCAGAATTCCTTCAAGAGTGTATTTCTCGGAACCCAAACTTGGCATCTTCACATATAAATGGCTTAATGGTAAATAAATGGTTGTATGAGCAACACAAGTCGGTGATATTGCACTCACGAAATGAAAACCTTCCCACACACAGCTGAAATCGATTACGATTTAGATTCAATTACCGAGTTCCAGAGTCGGAACACGCTCTAGAGACCATCTGTATAGAACAAGCTCAATTTGCAAGAATTCTATCCGTATTCGAAGAGTAAACACTTCGTAACAAGGCACTTCGCATTTTACATGTTACAATACTAATTGATTCCGTACAGGATCAAGGGCTAGAAAAAATATTAGAAAACGTTTGTGATGTATATGTGAAGTTATTTTAGGTTCTTTAAGCATAGTTGCTATCAAATAAAATGCGTTTGGCCACCTCAATGTATGTAGAACTTAACTCAGTTCTTCAGATCCCTGTCGCTTAGTAGTACAACGTCGCTTGAAACCTATGGTTAGACGTTTTTATTAAAAAGTATCTTAATATAAAGATAGTATCAAAACAAAACATTCATGACCGGTTTAGTGGCTAAGATCGTTAAGGCAGTAGTGCCGTAGCGATCTCGGACCGAACGATTGCGTGTCATGTCATCTTCACAGTTACCATACCGTTAAATGCAATAGTGGTTGCTAATGACCTAGATGTTAATGCGAAATTAAATAACCTAAACGTTTACTGTTGCAAAGCGTCAATCTAATAAATAACAGTCAGAAATATCTACATTAGTTACTTTCATGTACTTTTACATTAAAATTATCATGAACGTAAATTAAATTTAATGTGCACATACAGTAACTCAGTAACTTTAAAATACGTATAAATTAAATTTAGTGCACGTGTATACACGTACATTAAATGTACTGCACGTGTACATTAAAATTTTATATATCATATATAAAGTAATGAAGAAAGTTCTGACTGTGCTTTTTACTTCTCCTTCAAAAGCAACTCCTAACACGACATGGCTGTTTGTTACTAGTATCAATAGAACTCATAAAGCCCTTGGTACATAAATAATCTTTAACTTGTATACCAAATATTATTGAATTAATTTTACCAAGAATTTATTTACATTATTTATTTATTGAATATGGAAGAATGAACATTTTTTTTACTTTTATTAATACACAAAAAATTATTTTTATTCAAAAATACAAAACTGTCAGCACTTCAAAGTCAGACAAAGTACAAAATGGGAAAGAAAATCGATTTAATGTGAAATATACTATTAGTAATATTATTACAAGAAGGTAATATTATAATTATATAATGTTACCTTTCTTTAGTCGTTCAAGAAAATACTAAATCAGAAAAACTATTTGGTTCGTAGGTATAAAGTCATTCTCTATTTTACAATAGCCATTTTGACAATGCAATTTATTGTTACTTAAAACTGGGACCAATCACTTACTTATTAAATATTCTTAAGGAGGTAATGAAACATTTTATCTCAAATGTTCTATCGATAGTAATACGTTATTTAATTAAATATTATTTTTAATTTAGTGCGTAATAGTAATACAACTCCGACTTAACTTTGTTTGAATCCGAAGGTTGTTTCTAATTTTGCAGAGTAGGTATATCCAAAAACGTAATACCTTCAATAACATCTCTACAAAACAGTAGACGTTTTTGTTCCAGGATTACAGTTATTTACTTTGGACTTACTTTGTCACACTGAACTTCAGTTCATTGCCTTAACTTCATTTCCGGAATTTCAGTTCATTGTCTTAATGTGTTAGGTCTATTCTTATATTTAGACCCTCACTTGAAATCTGCTGCACATATCCATCATAGGTGGAGGTTAACAAATTTCACATTTCATGAAAATAATATTCAATAATGTTAATAATGAAAATAATATAAAATAAATAATACTAATAATCAGACTTTACATTGACAAATCCAATATGCCTGAATTGCTTCAGCTTCTCTCGATGTTAACCACCAACTGCTCTTGAAAAATGCTGCGATGAGAACAAGAAGTGAAGAATAACATTCATAAGTTTGTGGCTTTCATATCAGAATCTTATGACGTTTCTTTGATTTTGCACAAGTTTTAGAAATGTCTATTACTCTACACGTAAGAACACAACTACAAGAGCTTCAGAATTCTAATGAATCCCCAATAAAATAGGCAGGCTCGGAAACCCCCCACCCTTTGCCTTGCCTGCATGGGACCGGAAGGGTTCCGAATTTCCTAAGCTGCTCCTAAAATAAAGAGAAACGAGACCCCGCGTCAAACTAACATTGCAACAACGCAGCACAACTGAAAATAGAGAATGTTCAAATAGAATATTAAACTAAATGATTTTGTGGAAAAAATTATGAATTACTGTACAGAATAAAATATAAAAATTAGATTTTAAATTTATTATACGTCAGTTAAAATAGTGGGATAAAATATTTCTAAGTTTTTAAACAGTAAATATGTTGCATAACTATATATCAAATCTGCGTGAATTTTAATTTAAACATTAAATTTAATGCATGTTGTACATTAAACCTACTAAGATTTTAATGTAAGCATGAAATTTAATGTCCAAATACATTAATATATTTTTAATGTAAGTAAAATCTTTTTAATGTAATTAAAATACATTATCAATAATGTATAGTCATACATAAATCCACATTCAATTTAATGTAATTTCTGACAGTGTATTAGAAGTAGGTGACAATACAAGTATATTCATCTTCACCATCATCATCCATTTAATTTCATTTTTTTTCTTTTCTGACAATTGGATGTCTAAAACTGCCTTACAAATTTGTATTCATGTACAAAGTCGTGAATAATTAAACCCATCATTCTGAAAAACTTATCTGAACGGACACTTTTCATGATTTTCCCACATCTCATGTACAGACACCTCTTCATAGTGGGCAGTTTTTAGATTCGGGGTACGAGAGCTGTTATTTTGTGAGGATCTCTTTAGCGAGCAGTATTTTTGATCCCGAGAGCGTCCGTTAGAGATATTTCACTGATCGCCATTACTGTCTACAAACTTTGGTTTCGATATTGGTGTTTGGGGATGACTTCCTTCTGGAATAAGTTGTATATTTCTATTAAAATTGCTGGTTGATTATCCAGTATTTTCTTTGCAGGTCATTTCACGCAAGTGGTGTGGAAAGATAGTAGAACATTGGGTGTAGGAATGGCGAGGAGTCGAGGAGGTAACACATTCGTCGTCGCCAACTACGATCCTCCAGGAAACTTCATCGGCAATTTTGCGACGCATGTTCCACCCGTTGGGTAAGTTACTAATATATTAAAGTTTAAGGTGTTTTGTTAAGGAAACAGTAAAACTTGGTGTAGGAATTATAGTATACGAATAAAGGTTCAATTACTTCATGTGTATTTCAAAAATAGTGTTACAATTGTGACTTGTTTGGAACTACAATTAGTGACTAATCACACAGACGGGTAGAAGCAAGAATATTTTAATAAATGTATCTTGCAGGATGATTTCAAGGGCCGTTCAGGCGATCTGTTCAGCGATTAGTGCCTTCGGAAGAGGCGTTACACCCAGCGGCGGGATTACCAATCTGCGGGGCTCTAAACAGTAAATATTTTGGGGCCCCATTGATCAATTTTTTAAATCCAAAGTATACATTATTCTTTGAATGACATTCTTTTCATTAACTATCGTATTAAAAAAAATTGAAAGTGGACTGGCGGAAGAACAGGCTAAATGGTCTGAGCCTCGCCACAATAAAGACATTTATTTATTTATTTATATTAAACTCCAATTTTTTTAAAATCATTCTAAATAAGATATTTATAGTTTTGTTTATAAATTTATGACAAAGTGCAATATAAGTTAACAAAAAATGAATACAATATTTATGCATTTGATTTATCAATCAATTGTGTGAATCAATAAATATACATTAATTAATATTTTTGGTTTAAACTTGACTATTCGTATGTATAGTAGATATATAAAATATAACTCATTTCAAACATCTTTCTACACTTTTTGGCCGAGCAAATTTTTTATTAAATCACCAAAATTAAAGCGACGCAAAAGATCAGATTCAATTTTTTGTAAAGCCAATGAACTCAATCTATCTGGTTGCATTGTCGTCCTCAAGAGTTTTTTTAAGCTCACTATGAAAAAGCTAGCTCTCCAGAACAGTTTGTTATTATCTATCTTGAAAACATTCTAAGGCAGTTTTCTAGGTTCGGAAAAACTGTCTGGAGTTTTCATTTATAATGATTGTATAGAAATCAGTATAAATAACATTAATACTTTTATCTTAGTTCATTTTCAAAATTCGTAAATTGTTTCAATTCTCCGGCAAGATTCAAATCCAGATCCTCAGGATATGATGCGACAAGCGTTTTAATGTTAGATGATAACTCATCGTTAGACAAGTCCATGTTTAACAAGAAAGAAAACTTGTCTGACAGATTTTTAGAAATCTGGCCTCAACTTTTCATTTGAGATTGTAGAAAGCCAATGATCACATAAAAAGTTTAAACCCGAAATTTGTCTCTTGCACTTATAACTATCTCTTTTGCTTGACCCTCATTAACCTGTTTCCTCCAAGTATGTCTTCGAGTAGAGTTTTTTTTATAATTAACATCAAGCAAAACTAATTTCGGCGCGAATTTGTCAAACTCTACGCGGAGATCTTGCAAGTAATTTGTCAACAATTCATGGTGATCACTGCAAACTTTCAAATTAGTTCCTGCACTTTGAAGAGCTTCAGATGTGCAATGAAAGTTATGCAAAGTATCATTCCACATTGTTAGCAAAAAAGAAACATAAATTTTTGCATGTTTGTAGCTATATTTGCTTTCGCTTAGTATTTCCTTTTTGATCATTATCGTCGGAGCTAAAATCTAACGCGTTAAGAATTTGAGAATGTGAATCAAGTATTGCTTCCGCGGCAACAGCGCTCGCTTCCCAACGCGAATCCCAAAGATTCTCATTGCCAACATGTTTTTAAGTACATCCATCTGTGAGTTGAAGTCGAAACAAATGTGCCTAGTGTTTGCACTAATGAAAAAAATTGACGGCTTCCAAACAACAATCGACTGCGCTACGGCCAATAGGATTCAATGAATGTACGGGATATATATTGCATATGTTTTTTTTTCTCTGAAATAACACGTTGCATCCCTTTGTAACCACCGGACATATTTCCCACCTTATCGCACGCTTGTCCTCTGCACTTGGAAAAATCAATGTCAGAATCCCCACATAAATAATTCAAAATCTGAGTAGCTATTTGTTTTCCAACATGATTTTCCAATTCCAGAAATGTTAAAGAACGTTGTACAGGCAATCCATCTTACAGCGATACATATCTTATGACACAGTTGATCAATGTGGGATAGATCAGGTGTTGAATTGGCGGATAAACTACAATATCTAGAAACTCTTATTTCATTCAAAATCGTAGAGTGGACTTGCTTACTCACTAGTTCAATAAACTCTTCGAAAACAGTTTTCGACAAGTATGACACATTTTCTGTAAAAAGTTGTTAAATCCTGTAAAAAATTATTTATATTTTTAGATCAGAAATATGATTACCTTTTCTACGATTTCCATAAATTGAAATGATTGAGGCCAAAAATGGATCGAATTTAGCGATCAGTTCTAATAATCCCATATAACTTCCATTATTGACGGATCCAAATTTCTTATTTCACCCTCGGAAAGGTAATTCTCGTTCTGCTAACGTTCGAATGACGGCTGCAACTCGTTGCAAGATATGATGCCAGAATTTGAATTCTTTGTGGATTTCGTCATCTAATTGAGACCAGTTCAATTCCTATTCGTCGAGTGAAATATGTAGCATTACTTCTCAGTGATTCTGTGAATTTTCATGTTAATCAAATGTATTCAAGGAAAAGCTTTAAAGAAGAATTGGAACTATTTTTCAGAAAATTTCCACAATATTTTTTTTAATATATCTTTATTAGTGAACGAATATACATAGTTCAGTATTATTTATACTACATCATAT